TTTTCCACCTACATTGATCAGCAAATTATTTACTTGCTCTCATTCAATTTTACTTAATTTGTTTTTAATATTGAAGTGAGAGGTTTACAAATAGCCTCTTATAGTGTTTATAGATAGATTCTTGTTTAAATATAGTGGTTAGATAACTGGAGTGCCCAGTTGCTACTACTGATATTTTTCTTTGCCATTGTCATTATCATTATGGAAAGTATTTGTTATGCACCTATGATACAGGCATCTGGATCTGAGTTAAGCCTTAAGCAAAGCAAGAGAGATATCCCTAGCATATTACCTCTTTGTGATTACAGTCCATGAATGACAAGGGGTAGACAAATGAGCAAACAAGTAATGAACAACACATAAAATAAATACTCTGTGATTTAGGACCAAAGGAATGGTAGGGAAAGGTATGTTCCTGGAGGTGGTGAAGCTGCCCCTTATTAACTCCCACCATGTCTAAAGAGGTAAATGGCAGAATTCCAAGAACAACACACTAGGAAAAGAATCTGGAAAACTAAATAGTAGCAGTATTCCTTAGGGAGGAATGTCCTCAGTAGGCACCTGGAAGGATCAGAAAGAAGACTGCCAGGCAACCTTTCGTAGAATTACATCATGTAGCTGTATGTTGAATCTGGATCAAGTCAAAGAGAGTAAAGATGCATTTAATTTCTGATGACACTGTGTTGTCAGAAGGACTAATACCAAAAAAAGGGAGAAGTGACATATTTTAAATCTATAAATTGCATTTCATGTTCATTTGTCACCTCTAGGAAAAGCAAATAAAGTTTCTTCCTTCTCCCAAAGTGGATGATGAATGATTGCTTAGGATTGGGTGGCTGGAGCCTGTGTCGCCATTATTGACTTGCTATGGAAAACAGTTCGTTGGCAGATGCAGTCAGTGCAGTGTCTGCACACCCTGCAAGGCATAAGTAAACTGGTTCTAATCACTCATGGCTGATCTGAACAGAGAATAATTACTTTCCTGTTGAAGACACACTCTTCCCCTTGTCTCAGCCCTCCTTTGCCTCCATGTACAACAGCAGGGATTTGTTCCAGAGAACTCAGACTCAGTGTCACAAGGGTCCATGGACTGCTTTCAGCCAAAGTCAGGTATGAAGAGGACTCACTCACTCACTTACTGATTTGTTCATTCATTTGTTTATTTACAAAGATGGACGGACCTACTATGGACCACGCTTTATGCCAAAGACCCCTCTTCTTAGAGAGCTCACTTGAGGAATTGTGCAAAGTTTAGATTCATGCCTTTTACAGAGTCCTCCTAAAATTCTCTCCTGATCATATTCTAGAATGCAGAGGATTAAGCATGCAAAGCCAGAATAGGACAGAGAGCCAGAGTAAACCAGCAAAACCAGGGATCATTGAGCATGTCTAAGAAATGTAATCTGTTATTTTTTGAGGAGTATTCCCTAACTTAAAGGTACTATTTTGATAATATTTCCCAGGAGAACACCGTCTTGAGAAGATAGGACTTTATTTATAAATGACATCATTTACGTCTAAAGATTGGATCACATTTATTTTTACATTGTTTCTTTTGCTCAGATAGGTTACACAGTTTCTGTTTAGATCTTGTTGAAATTCTTTATTGTTAACTTATTTACTTTTAATAATCTTCAAAAGAACACAACAGGGGTGCCTGGGTGGCTCATTCGTTAAGTGTCTGCCTTCAGTTCAGGTCATAATCCCGGGGTCCTGGGATCGAGCCCTGCATCACGCTCCCTGCTCAGCGGGAAGCCTGCTTCTCCCTCTCGCACTCCCCCTGCTTGTGTTCCCTCTCTCACTGTGTCCCTCTCTGTCACATAAATAAATAAAATCTTAAAAAAAAAAGGACACAACAAACCTAATTTATTTAGGAATAAATTACTAAAGAATTTGAATTTAAAGACTGAAATAATAAAATTCCATTTATTGAGTTAATAATTTAAGTACTTATTGACATTCAACCACTGCACTGATTGTAACCTAATTATGTTGAAGGCTGTGATTAAGTAATTGAAATACATTGTACACAATGGTACGTACTCGTGTGTACATGCATTTGTGTGTTTATGGTTCATTTGGAAATGAACATGGGTCATAACATTAAATGGAAAAAAAAACAATGCATCCATGATATTATATAGAGATGTGAATAAAGAAGTAGAGGGGAGCACACACATGGTTTGACTTGTTGAAGGAAGAGGGTCACGAGCAATTTATTTTTCTTTTATTTTGAATTCTGCTGGCAGTCCTACAAAGTTTGTGCAATAAAAAATGGCTAAATAAAAATGGATCCAGATTGACCTGTTTGTTTTGTGTGGATTTGAGCAGAGATTTGAGAGAGGAACCACTGGAAGGTTTGTGTAATTCAGATCCATCTATAAATCTGACAGGGAGACTTTCCTGACAGCTTCCATCATTTCCAGAATGTCAGATTTTCAGATAAAGGGTTTCAGGTGAGGACTATAGAGTGAAGGTGAGATTTTGGTCTACATATTTTCAGCACTCAGAATAAAAAAGGAAGCCATGAGTGTTTATTCAATATTAAGTATCCATATGTTTGAAAATATTTGTGTTATTCTACCTTCCCTCATCTAGTATTATCTGGAAGCAGAAGATCTCATATAGTCTGCTGACTTGGAGCACATATGCACATATGAGTATCAAAAATATTTTAGATGACACATGAAAATCAGCTTTATTTGAGGATATTCTGTGGAACTACTGTTTTTATTTTGATGAAATAGTCTGCCAGGAGAAGCAGGTGGTGAAATCTTCACTCATGGGAATAAAGGAAAACATATTTTGGTTAACAGGGAACTAGAAAATCAGAGGAGGGAAAAAATCACCTTGCCTGACACAATGGATGCTCTATAAAATTGAACTGCTTCATTTTATTATGGAAAGGACTTTTTGGCCATAGTGCCAAAAGGTTGTTATATATCCTTGTTAATTGTGGCTGGAGACACAAAGCAATGTGATCATTTGATAACTTATTTGTTATTTGGAAAATGACAGCTTTTATGTGCCAATAAATATGAAATCACCTAGAAGTATTGTTGTGAATTTAGGAGCCATCTGAACATCCTTGTTTAATGCATACACTAGATTTTAATGAAGGGACATGAGTTTGTACTTAGTAGATTACCTGGTGGTTCTGCCTCAGCCATCTGATGAGCGGACACTGTCTGCTTAGTGAATGAGAGACAGAGAAACCTATGTAACCCTGTCACAATTTTTGGTTGGTAGACAGTGGCTTCACTGGAACATGGAATGAGGCAATTAGTCTCCAGTTTCGTGTGTGCTTTTCATCTTGTCCAGAGTGCGGCTGACAGCCAGGATTCCACTTACTCACCACGTCCCGCTCTCCTCTTCACAAAGGGGCAGGTTGAAGGAGTGGCAAGGAGCCTTGAATCCATCCTGGGTTACATAAACACAGTTCAGTCTGCGTGTTTCTGGTGTGCGCTCTTCATGTGCCATTTGCACTGACAGGACACTGCTTTCAGAGATGACACTAACTATTCTGAGGTTTTAATGTGATTGCCTCCAAATGCTTGAGAAAGCCCTGTGTGTTTGTCTGGCAGGCGGATCTTTTATGACATGGCTCTTTTTTTTTTTTTCTTCCCTCTCTCTTCTTTTCCTGGAACTGCCGCATCCTTAGCTGGCAATCTTTAAACCTGGGCTGCAGCGATTTCTCTTCATGCGGCCCCACATTAAGCACATCTTTCATGCTTCTCCAAACCAAACTCAGAAAGTGCCAATTAATAAGTTGATGGGGAAGAAGTCAGTGGGTAACATTAAGGCCACCTGTCTGGAGACATTAGGTGAGCATTTTGACTGAGTGAAAGCAGACCTGCGGAGAGTCAGGAATGAGGTACTTTATCACACATTCCTAGAGGCATAAAATGAGAGAATAAAAAGCAGTTTCCAGGGCAGCTCCTCCATCTTGTTCCTGTTGTGGATGGTTTCCATTGCTCTGGCCATGGTTAACCGTCCTGACAAGAAAGTACAAAGCATCTGAAGCTGTAAATGTGTCCACATTTAAAGCATATTCTTTGGTCAGTAGGCTACAGACTGAGCAGGACACCCGGCTACTCTTTCCAAGGTGCTCCCTTTCATACCCGCTCAGACTGTTCTGGGCGTCTTTCTACTTCCGTGTGACGACTCTGAAAACTCTTTTCATTCATTCATTTATTTACTTATTCATTCGTTTGGAAAATATTTATGGAGTCTATAAAATATGCTGGGTGTTACTCTAGCTGCTGGGAATATACCTGTGGGGCGGAAAAAGAGAAATATCCAACATCCCTATTCTCATGGACCTCATGGATTAGTAGGGAGTATATAGATGATAAGCAAAATAAAAAAGGAAATCATAAAATAGGTTAAAAGGTGACAAAGTCGCCTTTATACAATTTCCAGAGAAGGCTTTAGAAAGCCCAGCCTTTGAGTCAAGACTCAGAAAATCAGCCTGAAGGTAGGATAACATATGGGGATAGTGTTGATGTAAGTAAGAGGGCTTATGGTAAGAGAGAAAAACCAGTGGAGCCCATTCTATTTGTTTCTTTCCACCTTAACCACAACAGATATGACAAGCCTTGCTCTTTTATTTCTCCAAAATGGAAAGTAGATAAGGCACAATACGAAAGAGGACTGGGGTTAGGGAAAGAGTGGGACATATTTTAGATTAAGGAAATAACCTTGGGGAAAAAAACAAGGAGCCCCGTAGAAGAAACTAAAATGCACTCCTCTGTGCCCTCTTCCTTCCTGGCACCTTGTCTGCCTCTTTGAGGTTTGTTTGTTTGTTTGTTTGTTTGTTTTTTAATAGTTTCATGGCGTTGGTCCAGGAGAACAAACTGGCAAAGTCAAGGTCCTTGTTTGACCAAACATTCTTTGCTCCTTTTTCCTCTCTTTCCAAAAATTTAACTTGTTTCTAAGTTTTGTAAATTTGTAAACTTAACTTTTTGTTGTTTTCTTTCCCCAACAATTCTTGGCTGCAGATTATGTTACTCACAGACCCGGAGATTGAGAGCAGCTTATTGATCAGCTCGGATGAAGGGGCCACCTATCAAAAGTACCGGCTGAACTTTTACATCCAAAGCTTGCTTTTCCACCCCAAGCAAGAGGACTGGATTCTGGCATATAGCCAAGACCAAAAGGTGAGCGTGATTACCTTGTTTGAGACAACAGTGCACGGTTTTCCAGGGAACAGGCCGCTAGCTAATTATCTCTACATTTCTTCTCGGTGGTGACTTTTGTTCTGTGCAGTGGCCTGAACTCTGAGCCAGGGGGTGAGGGGGCAGCAAGGAGGATTTCAGGGTGCTTGCTTGAGCTGTGTCAACATCTGAAACAGCGTATAAGGGAAAAGCCTGACACGGAGGAAGACATGGTGGAGAAGCAGTTCTTAACCTAGATGCTGCAGGCCATGAGGAGCTCCCAACATCCATGGAATTTGAGACTGCTTTGTGCATGTGTAGATGTGATTGTTTTTCTGGATAAAGGGCTCAGGGCTTTTCTCAGAGCCTTATAGGGAAGGACAACCCTGAAAAGGTGAAGAGCACTAACTAGGGATTTGCTAAAACAGTGAGAGAAATGGCCAGAGGAGCCATAATAATGTCCATAGATAGTATTATTCAGAGTCAAGTAATGTCAGGATTTGTCTGCTCTTGGTGGTTGCATTGAAGGAGAAGTCTACTTTTCAAGAAAGCATCGAATGAGATTGTGTGTGCATGTGGGTGTGTGAGATATGTATATGTATTTTATGGGATACATATTATGTACTCTATACTACAGATGCACTATAAAATACCTTTAGCTCCTGCTTTTAAAAAACTTACATTTTCAGGTAGAATGTAAGGCTAGCAACAGCAAATATAATTAAATAAAAGATTCACAGGCAAATATCAGACTCTAGCCATAAAAGCCAACTGGAAAATAGGTGCAACACTGGAATACTCTTTGTGAAGTGCATGATTCAGTGTAGTTATCCTGCAAATTATTTTTATAGGAATCTTATGCTAGAAATTTCATGTATTTAAAGAAATGTGAGTGAGGAGGGTACTCAAGGTTTTCTTTCTGTTGGGAAGATGTAGATGTGTGGGGTTCTTCCTGAAGGGAGGGGACTGGTGGACGTAACTTTCCAAGGTCTCTACTGACGTGGGCATTTTGGAGGAAGCAAATTAAAATTAAAATTCTCAGGATTGGAATTTTATTCACGCTGCCCTTACTGCCAAATAAAATGCACATTGAGCCTAAAAATAGAAAAGATTTACAATTAGTATTTTTTTCCTCTTAAGCAGCCTGCCTACCCTTTCAGCAGAATGTACAATTCCATTCCTGGAGTCAAGCCACTGTGCATCTGGTCCAAGATGGTGCAGTTACCAGAGGTGAGGCTGAGCAGCTCAGGACACAGAGTAGTAGTCATTTAATCCACTGGGCTATTGTATTTTATTTGACAGTTGGTTAATGTTCCCCCTGATGCCAGAGGCATAGGGAGGGCCAGATTTACCTGCCTAAGGGAAAACTATGCATCTCTGCAGTTGTGCTGGAGGAGATGCCCAGAAATGTAACCCTTCATGTCCCAGCACTTCCAACAGTGCCTCCCACAGTCAATGTCAGAGTTGGACAACTGTGGAGGAGTGAGGAGAGGACATCTGAGTTGTGGCCCGAACTCAGCCATGGACTTGTGCACAGTACTTGGTGTTGGCTCTCTTTGCCTTAAGATACGTTTGTATGGATCAGTATACTAGCAGGTGCGTGTCCAATGAGATTAAAAAAAAAAAAAAATACATTAGGCCCCACATCTGTTTTAGGTGCTCATCATGGCTCAGTGTTGATCTAAAATAACTTTATTAAGGAGCACTCAGTCCATCTGGGAAGAGAAGATAAATGCACGTGAGTTCACCGGTAGTCTAAGAGAGGCCAAAAAGTCAGTGCCCTCATTCACACATAAATAGATACCCAGTTAAAGTAGCTGGATGAATTATATGAAATTGGCAGCCCAAAGTTCAGGAGATGGCGATCTTATGAAATGATTTCACCTTGACCTTAAAGGATTTATGTCATATTTCTGTTTGGAGGGTCACACTTCATACTTCACACAAGAGGAATGTCATAAACGATAATATAAAGTTAGAAAAACTGTGTTTATGTGGTTGAGAATGTGTCCATTTGGCTGAAACTAAAATTTTGTAAAGTTAATTCTGTGTATATTTGTGGAATCTGATCTTGATTGTTTTTTACTGTTTGCTAGGCAGAATGAGTTTTGTTTTCATAATTAGGAGCCTTGCGAAAATTTTGGTCAGTGGAATAGTGTGTTCAGAGGTATAGATTACAAAGGTTAATCTGGTAGCAATTTTAGGATGAACTGTGGTAATATGAAGTCAAAAGCAAGAAGACCAGTTAGGGTGATATCACCATAGTCCTGGTCGGGACCAAAAAGCACCTCCTGTGTCCGTGGACCCAGTGAATTCTGTCATTGTAGAGCTGGAAGAAGCCTTAACAGTCCTTGCTGGTATGTAGCTAACAAACCACAAGTCTGAGAATTTAATGAATTTTCCCGAAGGGAAATACCACTCATTGGCATTACATGTCAAAGTTCAGTGAATGGAATTAAGGCTTACCTGGAATTTGGTAGGGTTCTCATTCTTGACTGTGACATCTCGAGATCAGCAGATAGGCAGAAACCAGCCTTTCTGCTGCTCTCTCTGTTTTTCCAGGAAAGAATGAAGGTGAAATCATCCTGGATAAAAATTGTGGATAAGCTTCTAATCTGAGTAGGGGCTAGAGTACTCCCTGTCTCAGGGCGTGGATCAGAATAAGGAGTGGGGCGTTTGCTGGGAGGAGAATGGCCTGCAGCCGTCACGTGACCCTCTGGCCAATGCTTTTGGCTGTTGAGACGGTTTGTGGCTGCTCAGGTGGGCCAGCGATATGGAAATGACAGCTGGCAATCCCCCATGAATCCTGGAGCGTTTACCACTGATGAGATGCAGCAGTGAGCACCAAGGAGGGCCCTGTGCTGGTGTCGGCAGGCCAGTGACTGTCCTGGCCCAGGAGAAGGGAACTTTTAATTCTTCCGTGTAAGCATTGCTCCTCCGATTTTCTGTGACAGCCACTGTTGCTGCTGCGGCAAGGCTCCCAGCTAAGATCCTCGCCTCGGCGCGAGTACTCACTCTGCTGGATGCTTTTCTGCACCGACGGATGGCAAACAGAATCCTCAGGCAAAAGGCGCTGTCTCTTAGAATGAATCTTCATGAGGTGGCAACTCCTCAGACTCACCTGTGAACAGAATCCTCCACTCTTCCCTCTTCCCTTGTGTCCCATCCTCACTGTCTTCTCAGGCATCCATTCCCTCTTTTGCATACATGCTCTCCCTCTTTTGCCAACTTTATTTCCCCGCCATGGCTTTCTCTCTCCTTCAGTGCAGGAGACTTTTTTTTTTTAATTTTATTTTATTATGTTATGTTAATCACCATACATTACATCATTAGTTTTTGATGTAGTGTTCCATGATTCATTGTTTGTGCATAACACCCAGTGCTCCACGCAGAATGTGCCCTCTTTAATACCTATCACCAGGCTAACCCATCCCCCCACCCCCTCCCCTCTAGAACCCTCAGTTTGTTTCTCAGAGTCCATAGTCTCTCATGGTTCATCTCCCCCTCCAATTTCCCCCCTTCATTCTTCCCCTCCTGCTATCTTCTTCTTTCTTTTTTTTTTTTTTAACATATAATGTGTTATTTGTTTCAGAGGTACAGGTCTGTGATTCATCAGTCTTGCACAATTCACAGCGCTCACCATAGCACATACCCTCCCCAATGTCTATCACCCAGCCACCCCATCCCTCCCAACCCCCACCACTCCAGCAACCCTCAGTTTGTTTCCTGAGATTAAGAATTCCTCATATCACTGAGATCATATGATACATGTCTTTCTCTGACTGACTTATTTTGCTCAGCATAATACCCTCCAGTTCC